TAATTATGTGGCATGTTTAGTGGCTAAATTATGTGGGTGCAATGATCGATTTGTTGTGGCGTTTGTGGGTAAAATTGACATTTGATTGGGCCGAATTGAATGTTGGATGGGTGGGCTTGTTTGGTGAACTCATGATTGGAATTTGATTATTATGACGTGTGAGAACGGACTTGAGACATGTTGACGGCGGTCATTGGAAATTAATTGAATTGTGTGGCTTGTGTGCCTGTGAGAACGGACTTGAAACGTGTTGACGGTGGTCCGTGAAAGGAAAGTTTGACCTGGAACGTGTTGACGGCGGTCATTGGAAATTGATTTAATTGTGTGGCTTGTGTGCCTGTGAGAACGAACTTGAAACGTGTTGACGGTGGTCCGTGAAAGGAAAGTTTGACCTGGGACGTGTTGATGGCGGTCATTGGAAATTGATTGAATTGTGTGGCTTGTGTGTCCGTGAGAACGAACCTGAGACGTGTTGACGGTGGTCCGTGAAAGGAAAGTCAAACCTAAGGCGTGTTTACGCGGGTCGTGAGAAGGTGCGAGATGTCCAGTGAGGAACAGAATCCGGATTGATTGGAGGGCTGAGCCTAAGGTGCATTGGCACGGGCTGTGAGAATGGACCTGAGGCGCAGTGGCGCGGGTCGTGAGATGGTTGGTTGGGCACGTGTGTGAAATGTGATTGGTTGGATCGGCTTAAAGTACGTGTTGATGTTTGATTGTATTGATTGATGGTACGTGTGGATGTTTGGTCGGATTGGTTGGGTGCGAATGTGGATGGCGCTCGAATGATTGTGTTATATTATCGGGATATTATTTCATTATCATGATTTGACTAATGTGTAGTGTGGGCATGTGATTGGATGGCGAGGTAAGTTCATTGATGTGAATTATATATATATATATATATATATATATATATATATTATCAGTTAGATTGCATGTTAAAAACTTGTCTGGGTACGCATTGGCCTACGTGGGGTTTAGGGTGTTGCTTATTGAGACTCGTTCTCACGGTTATTATATAACCATTTTTAGATCCGCGACCGTGATCGATTCAGAGATGCCGCCAGAGTACCACATGGATTGATCAAATTACCCTGTCTTTTGAGTACCTTTTTGTAGAGGAGATAAGCTTGTCAACCACCGCCCCCTTTTGAAAATTGTGGTTTCAAATTGGTAGCCTGGGTTATCGTTTTATAATAGTGACTGCTTTATGATGTTATGCAATTATTGTTTCGTGCTATCATTTTGTCATCATGTTAGTTATCTGGGTTGTTTTATTTCGCTTCCGCTTGCGTAGTTCGTTTGGGTCGGCGATGCGTCTTGGGACGTCGCGTTCAATACGACCTTCGGAGGGGTGTTGCGAGCCCGTCGGGGTTCAGGGCGTGACATTATTCATCGAGCAAAGGTGAACCATCAGACCCTGAGGATGAATTCCCCTCGCGCAAAGTGAGAAGATATCATTTGAAGATGAAGATTTAGAGAGGATTCCACACCGTGTAAAAGAACGAGGGCCGAATCATATGTATCTTGTTCTCAGCCGAGTCCAAATTGTTCATCAAGAGAATTCAAATGTGAGATGTTTAAAAACGTTGCTTTTCGTATGTGAATTGATAAACATCGTTACTTGGGTGGTGCGAACAGTGTGCCCAATTAAGTGAGGGCGTGACTATTTGTGATTATGCAGTATCGCCATTTCGATAAAATGACTAATAAAGTTTCAGATTCTAAAATACAAGTCAGTATCGTATTTTTCTGTGACTAATTAAAGCGTATGGAAGGAAGATTAATGGAGCTGGCGCCATAACCACCCATTTTGGCGCGGCAATGCCCCTGAACAATTGAATGACAGAAATACTCTTACGGGGTCCCATATCTTTTGACTTTTCCGTGCGAAATTCACGAGAGATCAAAATACTGAAAAAAAGATTGGATAAAATATAAAATTACTAGAATGCCCTCATTTCAGGTGGCAATTTCCTCAAAGTACCCAAAACCCGAACCCAGACAACCTCATTCCCTCTCCCCACCGCCCCTCCGCCTCGACCGCTCTCCCCCGTGTGCCTACGTCCCCCATCGCACCCCTGCCATCGTGCCCTCTGCCCATGAAGACAGAGGGCCTCACGGTGGTCATGTCCTCGCTACCACCGCGAGCAGCAGCCCACCCCCGGGAGAACTCAGACCTGGCACGGCTCGCCGTCGGTCGGAGAAGAAAATGAAGCCGCGCGAGCCTCTCTGTTCGTTGGTTTTGGTCTGTTGGTGAGAATAAGAGCGAGAGAGAGAGTGTGTGATTTTGACTGTCGTCCGTGGGTTTGGGTCTGTTGCAGAGAAAACTTAGTTTGTTCCTCGAGCCGATGAATGCCACCTGTTCTACATCTGCTCGCCCCCCACTGTCCAATTCTTTCCATAAGTTAATGGAGGGAGTACCAGGGCAACCTTCTCTCTCTCTCTCTCGCAAAAGCGTTAGCAAAATCATGAGATAAGGCTTCTTCTTCGAGTCGAAAGGGTCTGCCACAGATTGGAGTTTGGATTTGGGGCTTGTTCCGTCGACAGAGCCCAAAGTTCGAAACGACTCGGGCACTGCACTGTTAATTTGCGGGGAAACTCGAAGAGACGAGGCTTCCTAACTGTTTTATGCGCCGGCAACCGAGAGGTTTTGCAATCCGGAATCAAAGCTGCACTTTTACGCAGGTTAGAAACTGAACAATCCAGGCAGAAGGTTCTTTCGGTGCACATATTCGAAACTCATTGTTCTGTTTTCGTGCGCAGGGGATCCTGGTCTGTTGTCAATGCATATTGCAAAATCCTGCCATGGGATTTAGTAATTGCTTTTGATGCTTGATTGCGTATTGCTTCCAGCAAAGACCTAATGTAGAGGCCCAATCACTACTTAATGTTTCATAGGAAGACGATTGCTCAAAAGGAGAAGTCGAAGCAGAAGATTCTGACTGATAGAGACGCTTAGAGAGAGAGAGAGAGAGAGAGAGAGAGAGTGAATCTAGGATCAAATTGGAGGTGTTGAAGACAGAAGCAAAGGTGATGACTTAGAGCCAAAGGAAATTGATCTGTTGTATCAAATTGTTTCGTCACATTATCAAACGATATCGACGCCGACTTCAAAATTTTGGAATCATTCATCGTGACATCGAGTTAAACATAGTCTCTAGGAGAATGGATAAAAAAGATCATTAACGAGAAGCACGCTCGGGATATTTGATGGAGAATAAAGAATTGAGAGCCGAATTCTAATGACGTACTCGAACTCTTTGCTTCGAACTGGATTATTCTTCTCCTTTTTTTTTTTCCAATTTTAGATAATCTCTTCATTGTTTCGTGCCAGATTTCCCAATTGAAAATGAAAATTTTTAGAGAAGTCTTCCTTTGATGGACGAAGTATTCCTGATTTTGAGGCATAAGGGTCCATCGCGAAGAAAAAGAGATAATAGTTTTGTTGAAATGGACCAAACCTGCAAAATTTTTTTTTTTAATGAAATTATCCAACCATTTTCTGTTCCCTTTCGTACCAGCAAAAACTACCATTTTCTGCACCACTGTAGCACTCGATTAAATAGAACATCGCGTACCCATCCACCCCGTAAATAAGTATAAATCAAACTTCTTACTTTCAAAAGTTTGAAAATTCATAACACCTATATATTTGATAAATCATCTGGTTGTAAATCGCCATCGTCACATATACATTGTTATATATATTTTAAACGATATATCTTAACAAATCAAAGATAAAAAAAAAATTGAGATCTACTATTTTATGATATATTATAAATTTCTTGGAAAAGATTTTTCGAGAGACTATAGAAGCATTTGTATATAATAAGGATTCTCTACATTGGAAGCGGGTCTAATAGATTAGGTTGATTGATAAGCTTTCTTAGGTCTACCCCTTTTACCTGCAACAAGTTCACTTAAAGTTCAAATTGATTAATGGAAACATCGGGATATGCCCACAAATAATTTCAATTGCGTACAGTTTTCTTTTTTGTCGGCTTTGCAGCTTCACCATCATCATTCTTGGGTTATGGACATTCTAAGTTTCACCATCACCTGATGTTGCAGCCATTTGTTTTTTCGGTCGAAAAAGGTAAATTTCATTCAAACATCCGAAGTACTACAAGAACAGCAATAGCAAGACTCAAAACAAAGCAACCGAAGGGGTTGAGGGGGCTTTTCAAGCCAGTTAGCTGGGAGAGTCCCTTTTCTATGGGCTTTGCTGCCCAATCTGCCACTTGATTGGACTCGCGAGGAGAGTCGGTTGTGGATATGTTCTTCATCTGGGCCAGAAGTGAGTTGCAGTCCACAAATAGGTGCCGGGTTGCATATTGTTGGACATCCGGTTTAAATCGAGATGGAGATCCAAATCTTGTTCCAATTTCATAAACAAGGTTCTCATGGTGTCGCCTTGCATTATATAAGGAGAACCTTTGTCTATTCCAACCCTCGTCATCGTCATTTGTTTCTTATCAGGTTAGTCATATGAGTGGTCATAGTCGCTGTCTCCTCTTGTGCCATTGATCGTAAAAGCAAGGAAATCAATCTCCATCATACTGAAATGACACTGGTGCTTCAATCCCTTCTGACATATTTAAAGTCAAGACTAAGATGGATCGCCATGAAAGCCCAGTCGCGATCTCGGAATGCTCTCTATGGTTGATCTCGAAAATGGTGGCCACCCAGCAACCAACTACTCACATGGGGATGAGGTTCTGCCAAATGCCATCATCAAGCTTTTCATTATGACTAGTCAAAAGGGATACGTTAAAGACAGAGCCCTGCGACATTTACACTTACCTTTCGATGCTTGCCTATAATATTGCCATTATTGCCTATTATAACAGCAGTATTCAAGATAGTCTCCCCATCGTTTATATCCCTCTCAAGGATAGGATTAACAATGAACATGTTTTACTTTTTCACTAGATCTTGAAGAAACGTTGTTGACTCCCCATCAACAGGCTTGCGAATTCACGTCACCTCTTCTCTCCTTTACAAAAGGCAAATGGCATCATCCATGCTTCCTAGATTTAGATTAGTTCAGTAGTTGAACTTCAGTCTTTAAGTCCAAAAGGAGAAACCAAAATGCATAGCTCAAGCTTCATGGCGTGACTAACCTGCAAGCATAAGATGTTCACTCCTGAAGCACCTGCAGTGTCTATCGTTGGTTTTACTTTCTGATGGATAGCCCTCTTCTGATCCAGAAAGGGAGCAGTTGTGGGAAGAACTATAGAGTTTTGAATAAGCCCAGCTCTGACAATTGGCGGTTCTCTAAATATCTCCTTGTCTTCCGTAAAGCGAAATGCCTGAGAAAAAATCAGAATAAGTTGATAAAAAAGTTTCCACAAAATGTTCAGAATGAAAAAAATAAAAATTAAGTAAAAGATGCTGCTCAGAAATGTAGGAAGCAAGGTAATGGTTCAAAAATAAAAGTTAGCAACTAACAAATTGCGACTGCCACACTTCCTAGCTTCCATGATTGAAAGTTTAATCAACTAGAATAATTTGCCTACCTCATACGTTGCACGTTCTCTATTCCGGGGGTTCACCAACTCCATAAAATTCCAACATGGTAAAAGACTATCTAAATCAGATTTTCTCACGCCTTCAATCTCATGGAAAAATTCAGAACCAAGTCACCATAATAAAACAGATTTCCGTGATTAGGGCCATATGTATAAATCCAGTGACACGATTTTATTTGATCCATACTCTTTTATCTATCACTGATGTGAAAGACTACTGAGTTATAAATATAAACTCCCTGTGCCTTTGCAAAGTGAACAAGGAGCACACATTGGAAGATCTTTTCTCAGGTTCCTCAGAGAACTGCCAAACATTTGTTGGCCTGAACTCCCATTTGCGGACTGGAGCAATATGCTGAAGGGACTTCCTTCCTTGGCTATTGTGGTGACTTTGGATTAAGGCAATCATAAATTGAGTGTTTATCAGTGGAGTTACGCAACTTTGTCTTCCATGGTTGCCAAATGGACATAAGGCATTTGAAACTGGTTGCCCTAGATACTTTCATTTTTCAGATGACACTACTTATTTTATTCCAACTTCTTCTTCTATGCACTAAAAGTATTTCCATGGAGGAGAGAAGTTCACCAACAAGTATTTTCAGTCCTTTCAGGGTGTTTAGTCATCTCAGCCTTGACAAGCAAGTATTCCGTTCTTCCAGTAAAATCTCTCTCTCTCTCTCCCCCAACCTATGCACACAATCAGATTATCCATATGCTCCAAGCGGGAATGTGCTAAGAAGACAAGTTCCATACTATCTAGAAAACTGTTTTACATAAGGAACCTATTTGATTTCTAGTGAGTCCTTATCAAACTCCCACTAAATGGTATTGGAGCACATGAAACAGTGCAGCCTAGTGTGACCAGGACTCTTAGGAGCGGCATTTAAATTGCCACGTCCAATAAGCAGCACAAAAACAGCAAACACAGGTTTACCTGTTTGTCGAAATTACATTTAGATGAGAAAACTTTTGCAGAATTCACCAGAGGATCAGCTTCAAGAGTCCTTCCACAATTCAGTCTTATAAGTAAACGACTGACTTCCTGAAATCAAAATCATAGTGGTTTAACAAGAAGTAAGATGACAGGAAGAAGAAAGGCATTGATATAGCTCCTGGCAATTTTGAAGTATAATTCAATTTCTCCGTGAAGACAGAAGATATGTAAAAGGACGTCAGAGAGAGGACATCCTCTTGTCGACAAAATTGGTCGTGATTGTCGCTGCTGTCCATTCCAACCTCCAAAAGAATGTCGTTGGGAGCTTCCTCTTCATCATGTACGAGCATGCAGAGTCTAGTAAACACAGTCTACAACACATTGGCAAGAAATATAATTACTCTTTCAAGCCTTCATTTATAAAACCTTTCCGACAGAAGTCCAATTCCTATTTAAGTTGAAAAGTAAATGGTAAGTCTACATATGCAGACCCGACAATGTAGGAGAGATCAAACATTCTTCCAGATTGACTAATGACACCAATATTCATCTAAGGTGCTTGAAAAACACAGCAAAGCTGATTTAGCTTGTGCAATTTCCATAGATATAATTGGAAAAAGCGAGTAGAGAGATAAACATAAGGGTTAACACCACTAAAACCCCAAACTGGTACAAGTGTGACAATTTTACCCCGAACTTTTTTTTTACCATAAAAAACCCAAACTGGTACATTTGTGACAATTTTACCCCGAACTGGTACACCTGTGACAATTTTACCCCGAACCTTTTTTTTACCACTAAAAACCTCAAACTGGTACACATGTAATAATTTTACACTTAATATACCACAAAAAACCCTAAACTGGTAAACCCGTGATAAATTTACCCTGAACTATTTTTTGACCATAAAAAATCCCAAACTTATACACCTGTGATAATTTACCTCGAACTAATAATTTTTTAATATTATTTTTTATTTTTTCGAATTTTTTTATTTTTTCTTTTGTTTTCTTCATCTTCAACCTCTGGCCGGTTGCCGGTTCGGCGACCGGCCAGAGGCGGAAGCCGGCAAGGTCGGCCCCGCCGACTGTTGGCGATGGTGGCCCTCGCCGGCATCGGGCGAAGGCTGTCCTCCCTCGCCCGACGCCGGAGAGGGCAGCCCTTGCCCGACTCAGGCAAGGACAGCCCTTGCCCGACGCTAGCGAGGGCAGCCCTCGCCGGCGTCGGGCGAGGGCAGCCCTCGCCTGAGTCGAGCAAGGGCCGCCCTCGCCTGGGCAGGTGAGGGCAGCCCTCGCCAACGCCGGCGACGTCAAGCCTTGCCAGCGGCCGGCGGGGCTGACCTCGCCGGCTTCCTCCTCTGGCCGGCTGCCGGTCCGGCGACCGGCCAGAGGTTGAAGATGAAGAAAAAAAAAAAGAAAAGAAAAAAGAAAAAATAAATAAAAATTCAAAAAAATAAAAAAATTATTAAAAAATTAGTTCTGGGTAAAATTGTCACATGTGTACCAGTTTAGGATTTTTTGTGGTAAGTTCGGGGTAAAATTGTCACAGGTATACCGGTTTTGAATTTTTTATGGTATGTTCAGGGTAAAATTGTCACAGGTGTATCAGTTTGGGGTTTTTTATGGTAAAAAAAAAAGTTTGGAGTAAAATTGTCACACACGTACCAGTTTGGGATTTTTGGTGGTATTAATCCTAAACATAAATTGAGCACAAGAGAATTCTACTATCTGACCTCATCTTTGTGTGTTTCTTTTCAACAAGTCAAGCTCTTCCGACTTTTTACTATAATAATCCTTCTCCTTGCAGCCTTTGCTTTCCTGATTAGAACCAATTCGAAATCTATTGATGGTAGCATCATCAAGCTTACATACAAGTGCCAGTGCCAAAATATCTTCCACGAAAAGAACTTCGTCCATTTTCAAGAAATACAAATGGTTTGGTTGGAGGAATCATTTCTAACGTCACGACAAAGAAATTTCTGGTCATACGATAGAATACAAATTATGCTTTTACCTATTCAAAATTTCTGGTCATATGACAGAAGTCATTCATTCACTTGCCTAATTTATTAATTTATTAGCTATTACGAACCACTTTTTACCATATACAAATGGGCCAGTCTATTTCCCCAGGCCACACGACTAATCCATAGCTTTTTTAGTTGAAGAGACAAATCTACTCCTGATTTGAGCATCCACGCAACTAATTTGTTCCCTTTTTTTCTTTCTTAATGAATAACAACTTCCTTCGCCACTTGAGTTCTCATCAACAGCTCCCCTTTCTTCTGCAAAACTGTGATTTTAATAGTGAGAAAGAGGGAAATTGGAGATAGAATGACGTCTACCTCAATAAAAATTTTCTTCATGTCAACCTTTGACCGTGCCTCAGTAACTTCTAGGTCTCTGTACCACTTGCAGCATTTGCCCTTCCCCTTATCAGTGATTGGACAAGTTAAAAAGATGAAAAATTTAGAACTTATGGTGCTTGTGACATTTCAAATTTCGATCCATTTTTTAGATTTATAAAATATGTATTTCGTCAGTGCGCTTATAGTTAAATCTCGCCCAGAATTGATCACTCTCGGGTTGTTTTAAATTTGAGATTTCGCTAAAATCGCAATCGATCGAATTTGGCCGTTATTTAGAGCCTGAACTTGGGTATCGAATTTCTTGGAGTTTCGTGACGAATTTAATTGGACGATGTCGATATTATTGTGGCCAGCATCGATATTGCTCTAAATTATTGAAAAGTAAAATTTGGACCGGGTGCGGATTTTGACCAGTAGACCTCCCTCTGGGTTGATTTTATTTAGTGTCTTTTGGCCTTTTCTTAATTTATAATTAGGGTTTTTCCTGACCGTTAGATCAGTCATCGAGTTCGAATGTGGGCCGTTAGATCGCACTCGATTGGGTTGACTATCTTTCCCTCTCTCTTTCTCTCTCTCTCTCTCTCTCCCCCTCCTGCCCGCGCACGTCCCCCCCGGTCACGTCCACTCACCCCCCTCCCCTTTGCATGCACACGCCTTCTCCCCTCTCTCTTTCTCTCTCCTCTTTCTCTCTTTTCCTTCTTTCTTCTTTCTTCTTCTTCCTCCTTCATCTCCGCCCGCGACTCTTGCTTCTGCTTAGCCGCTCGCCTCCCTCTCACCGCCCAGCCACCGCATGCCGTTCGACCCGCCGCCACACGCCGCTTTCTCGCCAACGAGCCGCCACCACCTCGGCTCCACCCCAACCGAGTCGCGCCACTGCCCGTCGCCTTGCGATTGCCCGTCGCCGGTCCGCCCAAGTCACCGCAAGTGCTGCCCTCTGCCCGGACCAGCCGCCATCATCGTGCGCCGACGTTGCCGCGCGTCCATTCGCCGCACGCCGCTCACAGGGCCACCGTCCGTCCAGCCGCTTTCCCCCTGGCCGACTGCCCTCTTCTCCTTCTTTCTTGCCGTGTGAGCACCAGCTCACTGCTGCGTCTACCGCGGCCCGGCGCTGCCCAGCAACCGCTGCTCCTACTGCCGCCGCCTAGCTTCCCCCTAGCCGTCCGATTGCCGTCCCTGCCCTCGGCCACTCACCGCTCGTCTGGCCGAGCCTTCCGCTGCCTAGCTCGCCCGTCGCCCGGTTGCCAGCTTGTCGCTCGTCTGGCCGAGCCATCCGCCGCCTAGCTCACCCGTCGCCGCCGCCGCTCGCGCTGGCACAGCGCTGGCTGCCAGCCGGCCCGTCGCCGTCCCGCCCTGCCGCGTTGCCTCGGCCGCCGCCAAGGCCGTGGCCGAGCTCGCCAACCGCTTGCCCTGCCGTGGCCGAGCTCGCCTGGCCGCTGCCCAAGCTATGCCCGAGCCGTCCTAGTCGCTGCTCGTCTC